CCATGCACGCGTATCCTTCATCCTTTGGTGCTGTAGGTGTGACGAGAGTGACGGCTTGAAAACGAGATATATTTGGTGTCAATGAAGCGTCGTGCGATGATGCAAGGCCAGGATCTCTCATTATTGCTTGGCGTTGAGAGACAGGTGTCGTTCGGGTGATCTTGCCCATCGATCGAGGCAAGGCGCAAGCGTCATGTGTGGAGAGTGCAACGGGATAGAACGAACGCATGTCCTCTCTGAAATCGATGGAGCACGTGCGAGTGAAGTTGCAGCGGGTCCCACTTGAAGCTCGAGGTACTGAAGTCCCCTTTGTCCTTCTAGCATCTTGCTATTGTTTGAAAAGAAGTTTTAGCAGTAGGTCGGGTCCCAATTACTACGTAGTACATGTACGGTGTCGTACGTGGCGCCTTCCTGCCTATGTTGGTCGAATCTAGCGTAAGCGTCCGAGACGAGCAGCACATGGCGTCCTGAGATCGCTGATGCTCTTCAGCACGAAACGTCGATGGTGTAGCCACAGCAGCAGCGATTTAGAGCTCCAAGAGCATGGTATCTCGTCCAGGATCAGCGCCAAGTAAGCTTACATAGTAGAGTAGCAGCGTGGAGGCTGGCACGATCCGACGCAATTTTACACGTGTGAAAAAGGGCGAAAAAGACACGACCGACGCACTGCAACCACCTGATATCGATTCTACGTTGCAGCAATTAAAATACACACAGTTTCTACAATACATTAGGCCGTTGCCAGACAAACACCAAGAGATGACAATCGCCCACACCATATTATTATTCCTAGGGTTCTATTTTATTCCTCGATGGACCACCTGGTAGCCCAGGTGGGGCTGGGATTTCACACGCGACTGCAACGCGTGTACGCACGTGTGATAACGCTGTGGCACACACATAGTATACTCGTACAGTGTACACCGTATATACATGATCAAGGCGAGGTAAACTTGTACATATTGTCCATGTACAAGTAGACGATTTTCTAAATTGTGATACTTTAAGTGGTTGGTGGCAGCACCACGTGGCGCGCGAATCGAGTGGGTTGCAGAATAAGACCGACACGTGACGTGGCCAATCGGCGGCCGCATCGCGCGTGCGCTGGCGTCGTCCCTGCCGGCGCCTGTCTGTGTGGCGGCTGCTTGTGCATGGACACGTGCTGGCGACACCAAGCAGTATATCGCTGCATGGACCCTACACCAAGTGTACTACCCCACGTCAAGAAGGGACTTTCTTCTTGACCCTCGGCCAAGGGCAAAGGCGGCTGTCCGATCGAATAGACTGATATCATTTTCACTTGATATAGCTTCAATATACCAATTCAGTGCAGCACTAAACAACTAATTCTAGTACCCTCCAACTACCCTCCAACTACACTACACTACTACTACTTCTCTGTCTTGCTACGTACTACTCCAGAGCAGCTCTAGAGCGGAGAGCCACCGAAACCTAGTGCTCCCAGACCAGCAAAGATATCGGCCAAGCCAGGGCGCTGTTCTCTCGGCAAGCGCGGAGCTCGACGTGGTGGCTTGGGCTCCTTCTTGGGCCCGAGTGGCCAAAGCCCGGCCTCGCGCAGTCGGCTGAGCTTTCGTTCTCGTCGTAGTCTGAACGAGAGGTTGTCGTCGTCGTCCTTGAGCTCCTCGATCGTCTCGGTGATGGATGGCAGCTGCGGCGGTGCTGCAAGGATGGCCGACACGGACAAGGCGTCCTCACACGGCCACCGCTCCATGTCGTCGACTGGTGCTTCTTCCGACTCGATCATGATGGGTGTGTCGTCGACGCCGCCGCAGCGTGGACATTCAAACAGGCGGCTCGAGACCACGCGGCGCCACTCGTCTAGAGCCCTCGCCGCGTCCATCGTTGCTACCTCGACCGTCACGCTCGCTGCGTTGAGTTCTAGCTGCAATTTTCGGATGACGTCATCCGCTGCAGCCGACTCGTGGAGCGACGCGAGAGCTTGGTGCGCCAAACGCTCGACGGATTCGTCGAGAGATTCTTGTGTGGTGGCCTGCAAAGCGATCGAGGCGTCGAGTTGGTCTTGAAGAGTCGCGACCTGTAGTTCAGATTCGCCCAAAGAGGCCTGCGCTGCTGTAAGCTGGCGCTGGTGCTCGGTTCGGAGTGCGTCGATCGCGCGAAGATGGTCGGCGGCCATGACATCCTGCTCGTGCTGTTGAGCTCGAATCGTGGCCTCGGCTGCCGCTGCTCGGGCGCTGGAGGTATCAAGTTGTTGCTGCAGTGCTGCTGCGGTGGCAGTTGATGCGTCCAGAGACGCCTGCATCGCGTCCAACTGGCGCTGTTGTGTGTCTTCAAGAAGTTCCAGGATGGTAGCAGCGTCAAGCTGCGGCAGCTCAATCGCGGCCTCAAGTGGTTCTGGCGCGTTGGCATCGGTCTCGAGATGATCGTGTTGCTGTTCGTCAGCAGTCGACTGCGTGGTGGTAGTTGTCGTGGGTGCGTCGGCGGCGACGTCTATCGGCGTGCAAGTGGCGTTGGAGTAGATCATGTAGGCCAGCCCAGCACTCAAGGCGACCATCGTCGCGCGTCCAAAGTAAGCAGTCATGTTCGTCGTCGTCGTTGATGCAAAAATGGTTTATGAGACGCTGGGATTGCACTGTGTTTGCAGTGTAAAGGGTTTCAAACGACCCTTTGTACTTGTGCTTTTGTACTTGGCGTGTAAAGGGCAGCTCGCAACCATCATCCGCATCGAGTGTCGCTCAGAGACCCAGAGCACACTGGAAGACTTTAGACGGTAAAATACCTCATGCTTTGGTGGTCTTTTTAACAGCGTCCGATGCACGGATGCGATTAATTCCAGCGTATCGTACCTTGGTTGCGTCTGTGAAAGATCGTTGAAGCGATTGCACACAGTGGATTGAAACAGAGTCTTCGCTTCGCTCTCGCATCCAACGTGTCACTTCCAAAGCAACAACCGGTAGCTCTCGTATCTGTGGTCATATGATTTCTCTCAAGCTATCGAGTGAGCGTCCATCGGGACGACGTGCTGCTTGCAGTGGGGCAACGATACCTCGTCCAACCAATCACAATTTCATGAATACACTGTACGTAGTACATCCAAGACACTGCACGAACCACTGTATTGCGTGCACAGACGGCAGTGGAGGCTACGGCCCCGCGACGGCGTACGCCGACCGGTCGTCCTCGACATACTTCTTCATGTCTTGGTAGTTGAAGAGGAACGTGAGCGAGTAGCCCACGAGCGTGAGGATGCAGCCGAGCTGGGCGCCTGCGCGCATTTGATGGATGGACGTACACTCGGGCGTGCCTAGACCCATCTAGCACCTTGGATCAAATTGTCGGAGTACGTACTGTAGTCCCATAGCTTGGTCGACGTGCTGTTGAGCATCATCGTGGACGTGCAATAGTCGGCACCGAGCTTGAGGTCCAAGCACTAGTTCAAAATACCTCGTTCTGGGCGATCCAACAACAGAAGGAAGAGTAGTAAGTACCTTTGCAATCGTCAGGTGCTCAAACTCACAGGACAATGCGAGGCCCACGGGAAGGTACACGATAAATGCAGCCAAAAAGAGCGCTGCGACCGTGCGCTGGGCTACCCTAGAAGACGACATCACCACTTTTCATTTTGTTGGAAGAGATGTCGTCTCGTACCAGGCTCGGCGCCGCACGCGGGCGACAGCTTGGCGGTCGAGGCCGTCCATCGTGTAGCGCTCGTCCTCGTTGCGCTGCTGGTAGATGCGGTACGTGAGCACCGTCTAGATGCACGATGATGCGACGTCGTCATCGCTTTGGAGGTCAACGTACGTTGCAGAGCACGGCGAGGGCTTCGAGGCAGAAGAACGCATACGCCGAGGCATTGTGCACGCTGGGGAACCGCGCGGTATCACAAATGCTCTAGTGTCAATGTATACGATGCATAGAGGTAAAAGGCACTCGCAGGACGCACCAGAATCGGCAGCGCAAACGCCGAGAGCATACCACAGACAGCGACAAAGGCGCGGAGGCACTTGTGGCAGCCCGAGGCCGACGCCGCCATCGCAGACGACTGGTAGCAGTAGTTGAAGAACCTAGCCATGCTCTTGCATACGCAACGTGGCGGCCAACATGATACTGTACCACACGAAGAGGAGGCTCGCAGCCGTGATGCAGAGACCGACGACAAAGACATAGTAGGCGGGCGGATCGCGGCCCATGTCAGAGAGGAACGGCCATGCGAGGCCGCCGACGTAGATGTCTTGGGACTTGGCGATGGCCACGCACGTGATGAGGGTGACGACGACGGCGGCCGTCGCGACGACGGAGCAGGCGCTGCGGGCGCGGTTCATCGTTTTCCAAACAACCCCAAGCAAATCTTTTGAAGTTGAGCCAATCAACATCGTCGGATGCCCACGTACGAGCCAATCCGGTGCGACCAGCGGCTGGAGTCAGGACGGTTTCGACGCGGGCACAGTATAGTATACAAAAACCAATAGATTCAGAGCTTCCAACGCACTGCTTGGTGCTGAGCTCATTTGCTGGCCATACTCATACTAGTCGTCGTATTGATTATACATGCTCGCACCAGTACTCTACCGGTGATGTCACTAGTACGTAGTAGTAGTACTGTGGTAGAAAGTTAGTATGTATTTTTGTGATCCGCATCGAAAACGTGGCTTTTCATGGGCTGCAACTCGAGGGGGCGAGCTTAACTTGACGAGCTGGCATTTGAAACGATTTGCATTTTGCCGTCCGGCTCCAACCAGCCGCCTGGCAGCGCAGAACGGTTTTTGATTGGATATAGGATATTGCATGGACTTGCTGGCATGTTGCGGCAACGCGAGGTAAATTTTTTACCCTTGCGTTTCGTGGAGGCCTCGCTGATGTTGCACCAAGGGCTACCGAAGGGCTGCGTGGTACACAACACCCCCGCCGCAACACCCCCTCATTTTGCACCCTCTCACTCGTGCTCTCACATGTGCTCTCAGGTGTGCGACTGCGGCTGGACTTGCTCCAAAGGACCCTTTCTGCGCGATTCCTTTTAGTGGCACGGTGGCTCTTCTCCTGTGAAACCGAATACATATTTGTTTTTACAGGAAGTTGCCCAGGCATTGCCGTGCAGCGCCAGTGGAGTCGCCAAACCGAGCCCGAAACAATTTTCGCTCCAATTTGGCATGTCGATAGAGGACAATTTGGAGGTTCCAACGCGCTATGCCATTCGATCGATTGAGGCTTATGGGTCGAGAAATTTGGACTCAAAGATGGCTACCTAGACCATGACCATGGGCGATCTCGGCGGTCGATTCCTTCCAAACTTTGCCGAAGGATTCATGCCAAAAGAAACCTTTTCGACGACCTACGGTGCTCGCAATCCTATTTGTCGATCATTTCATTTGTTGTTGTGGATGGGAGTGTATGCATACAACATCAAGCTGAATTTGTGAGCGAGCGATCATGCTCACGTCCCCTGGAATACATGGGCCAGCTTCGCATAGACCTGTTCTAGTATTATTTATACCTGCAGCAGGACGAGGGTGCGCTTTCCAACTTGCTAAATAACGTTCGGATGAAAAATATAGATTCTAATAAATTTATGGGTCGAAAAGGTATCGCCTACGTCGTTTTAGCAGCAGTCGGTGGACGAAGTGGCGTGCGTCGGCGCCGTGAGATCGAGCCCGGACAGGGTGCGGCCGCGACTCTCGAGAGAAAGCGACTGCGTCCGGTGCACGGTCGTGAGCAAATCGCGGAACGCGCGCTCGACGTTGGCGCCGGTTTTGGCCGACGTCTCAATGTAGCTCATGTGGTGGGCGGTTGCGAATTTCTGCGCCTCGGCCGTCGACACCATGCGCTTGCTCGGCTCGACATCCGCCTTGTTGCCGACCAGGACGGCGGCGAGGCCGGGCTCAGCAACCTACCACCAAGTGTGAAAGATGATACATTTCAAAACAGCGCGATACCTGGAGGAGCTGGTCCAGCCAGCGCTGGACGCCTTCAAACGAGACGGGGTCGCTTACGTCAAAGACGAGAAGAGCTCCGACAGCCTTGCGGTAATACGTGCCCATCATGGCATGAAAGCGCTCCTGCCCTACAACCGATCGCGCGTGAGTAGACTCGAACCGGCGACGAGGACGCACCGGCCGTGTCCCAGATCTGCGCCTTGACATTCGCGCCGTCAATCTCCATCACATGCGTGAGGAACTCGACGCCAATCGTGGACGCAAAGTCGGTGCTGAACTCGCCCTTGTTGAGGCGGCTGAGTAAGTTGGTCTTGCCGACACCCGAGTTGCCCAGTAGAATCACTAGATGAAAAATCCGTCTCCACCGGACAGTTGATGGTTTGATAGTACACCTTTGTTGACGGACGGTTTGGCCGGGACGGCAGCGACCGGCGCGACAAGCGACGCGCGACGCGGCACCTCGCGGCACGGCGGATTGGCGACAAAATTGGTCCCGTAGCTACAAAGGAAACATGAGATCATGTCGAGGCCGACTTGTCCACTGCCGTACTTTTTGTCGAGCTCGACGTAGAGCCAATGCATGCGCCCGTCTTGATAGTACGTGACGAGCGCATCGACGTCTTTCAGCTTCTCGGGCAGATTCCGGTCCGTGTAAAATTTGGTCAAAAATTCCTTGGGCGTCGGTGGCACGTCTGGCAAGAGGTTGATCTTGGACACAAATTTGGTGATGCTTGATGCCACGTCGTCCAACGTGAGCGACGGACGGGTTTGAAGTGGCGGCGTTGCCTCGACGGCCGTGTACGGCGGGGTCGGCGTCGTCGTTGCCGGCGTGACGACGTCGAGGGGCGCGTGGGTCGGAGACGGTGTGGCCATCGAAGCGCGAAATCAAAACTTGCACTCTCCAGCGCATTGCTTGTCTATTTCGGGTGGCCGGGAATGGATGGATCCATACTACCGGGCAACATGGCGCCTTTGGAATGGAAATGACGCACGCGGATTGGCTGCGTTTGAAAACCGACGTGGCGACAGCCAATCAAATGCAGAGGTTTGACGCGCCACGAGCGGCCACAACGATGTTTTGGATCGTGCTCGTTTTGACAAGGGTGCACAAGCCTTGGTTTTGAGCATCCACAGCGCCTTTGCATCGTCGACGCATCGGCTGAAGCATCAGTTGGGTCATTATGTGCAGGGTTGCTAGTGTCAGTAGTCGCTTGGTTGACCGCTAGCAGTGGCTGTAAATGGCCCTCCGATTCTCGTTTAGCGGTTCGGACACTGATTTCGCGACCGAGGGAATCCTCTGCTTGACACTACAGCTCGCTACTGCGCGGTTCCTTGTCGTGACAACGGTCCATGAGGTCAACGCTGGGAAGGCATGCCCCAATGATGACACCGTCCTTTCATGAGCGACCAGCCGAGCACTCCTCGGGTAGTATTCCCGCGTTGCATTCTAATAGCGACAACCTGAAGAAAAGCGTCCATGGATGAACGGCTCTAGTGATCGCCGACGAGTGCCTGAAGCCGCCAGTGTCCACGACAACGTCGTCGTCTGCCCTTGTCGTCCGCAACAGCAACAGCAAACACACATCCGCACAGAGTATATTCGCAGAACGTGCTTCTCACGTAACTCGCATCGCTAACCATTACAGAGAGTTGGCCGCTTCAATAAATGGTTCGCATGGTGGACGTTGAAGCTGCAGAGACGAGGTTGCGCATCTGTGGACACTAGAGAGGCTGCGATGGCCATACAAAGGCTACAAGCTATTAGCACGCCTCGTTCGATACTAAACAATCGATCGACTTGACGACCTTCGAGCTTCAATTCGCATCGAGCGATCGTGGTGGGCAAAGGTCCAGTAACCCTTGCCGTCGCCAAGCGACAAGCGATGTGTCACGTCCAGGAGCCATGCAACGCACCAATCCGCGCGCAAGCGAATCTGATTTTGCACCAATGGAAAAATCCGACGCTTTTCGACCAATCCGTGTGGGGCGCTCGCCGCTTGCAAATCTTTCGGCCACTGACGTTTCGTCAACCCGATCGAGCCATGGCCGCGGTCCTCTTCCAGATCCACGCTGCGGCGCCGCTCACCGCCGACGACCGCTACGTCGCCGTCGTTGGCAACGTCTCGGGTACGCGCCGCTGATCTCGTCGCCCATGCAGCCTCTCATCCGCATGCCTAGAGCTCGGCGCATGGGACGTCGCCAAGGCCGGTACCCCGACGCCGCCATGCACCCGCCGCCAGCGCTCATCCTTCCTGTAGTTCCGCTCAAGAAGCATGTCGGCACCTCGACGCTCTGGGAGGCGACTCTCGAAGTCGCCATGTACGCGCTTATCGAGTACAAGTACATTGTGCTGGACCGCGCCGGGGGCCTCGTGCTGTGGGAGTCACTGCCCGGCAACCGCACGCGGGTTGCCGGCGGGACCAACGTGGCGCTGTACGAAGCATCTCTGTGTCTACTGCCATGGTCCTATGTGGCGCGCGTAGGCACAAGCCGGTCACGCAAAGCTCGATCTTTGTCGCGCCCGCGGGACCTGGTACTCTCTTGTCGCATCTGGCCTCGACGTGGGGATGACAGCGTATGCGGCGACTAGTGCCTGGCCCACGCGTGCCTGAGCTGGCCGTGAACGGCAACACGAGCGGTCATTTCGAGCACATGTGCTGTCGCACGAACGTGCAAGACCAGCCGTACTGGCAAGTCGACCTGCTCGCGGTAGGCTCGCCTTTCTCGGCGCACGAACCAAGCTTTTGTTTGCGTAGAGCACACCGCTGGCGAAGCTCGTGCTCTGGAACCGCCAGGACATGTTCTTGGACCGCCTCGTGCCGGTGTGGCTGCTGCTGTCCAACACGCCGTTCGGCGACGTCTCGTTGGAGGCTGCGAAGAAGCAGGCGCTGGCCTCGATGCGGTAGCCATTTCAATTCTATGTGTTGGTCTATTAGATGTCACTGTGGTATGGGACTAGGTTTGCCTCGGCGGCGACGAACTTTGAATGGCCGGTGACGACGACGGCGCGCTATGTGCGCGTGCAGCATGAAGCCGCGCACACGAGCTTGCAGTTTGCGCAGCTCCAAGCGTTTACGCCGACGCACTTGGCGCCGCCGGTAGGTTCACGCACGGTCTGTGCGTCGCTGGAATCGTCGTCCTAGGTCCTCGATGGCTGGTTTGGGCTCGACAATCGCGCGCTCGGCGATGGCCAGTCCCACATTGACGTATGCATCTCCATTTGAGTGCCCTATGTCGTATGAAGTCATGGCGGTGTGTAGGGGCAATGGCTCGCGCCGGGGGCGACGCCCGAGCTCCGCCTCATCTTTGGAAGGTGCGTTGCCTGCCTCGTCTCTGTATTTTTCTGTATTTTTCTGGATTTTCTTGGATTTTCTTGGATTTTCCTGGATTTTTCTGTCTGTTTCTGTATTGAACAGTATTTGTCCGTGTCGGTTCGGTCCGGTCCTAATGAGACGTGCTAGCTTTGATAAGAAGCCGTCCGTGACGTTTACGGACAAGGTGCAGCGATCCATCTACCTCCAAGCACGTGTGCTCGGGCATCCGTCGACGTCGATCGTCCACGCCCCGTACTCGGCGGATTTGCGCGCTATCGACGTTGCGATGCCGACGCCGCACTTGGATCGAGAGCTCCTTGGCAATGCGCTGCCGCTGCCGCCCTCGCTGTCCCGAGGACTCGACCACGTGTCGCTGCTCACGACGTTGCCACCCCACGTGCGTGACGAGCTCACGGCCAAGCTCGAGCGCATCTCGTTTCCGGACGCGCAGCCGATTCTTTCGATTGGCCAGGACCGCCACCACCTGCTCCTTGTCGACGCGGGTGTCGTTGCCGTCACGGGCCCAACGACGACGCAGGGCACGACGACCTTTCTCGAGCTCGGGCCGGGCGCGTACTTTGGCGAACTGGTTGGACTTTGCCGTGGCCGGCGTGGCATGTGCTCATTGAGATTCGAATCTGTAGGCCCTGGTCAGCGGCGCCAACCGCAGTGCGCAGGTCGTTGCGAAAGGCGCGGTGACGCTCTCGCGTTTGCACCGCGACGACTTTGCAGCCGTCTTGGCTGCGCATGGCCTCGACGCGACGTCGCTGCTTGCAGCGCACGCCGACGGTATCGCGGCTTCGCTGCCGCTTCTGACGACGACCCCATCGCCCAAGACGCCGTTCGTGGCTCAAGACACACTTCAGGTAGATGACGGTTGCTAGGGACTCGGAAGATCG